GATAGTAAAGGTCTAAGTGGGTGGGGAAGTGTATCTAAGGATATGAAGACAAACCATTAATACGAAAACACAGACAGTCTCCAGAATTAGAACAAGCCCACACAAGGCGTTGTCGCTGGCGATTTTTTTTTTTGAGATAATAAAGATTTTTATTATCAGACCTTCGAGCGGAGGGAAAATTGAAATATTTTTATTCCGTCTCAGAAACGCCAACGAGTCTGAGAAATTCTTTTCTTAGATCATATCCAATTAGCGATAAACTGCTTGACAAATACCACGTGTTAAAAAGCCGAGAGTGTCACCTCAGTCGCTCATGATAAGGGCGATTTAAATTAATATTTTTGTTTTTTAAGCAAGGTATTTCTTTCCCAAAACAAAGCCACGGACTGTCCACGCCCGACTAAAGACGTCATTGGCTAAATAAGATCACATGACACACGAAGGAGGAGGAAAGATACCCGACCAGGACCTCATTGGCCGAGAGCGATCACGTGACGCACGAGGAGAATCGGTCGACGCCCTGTCAGAAGTGTGTGTGAGAAGCCGATACGAAGGAGCGGGGAAGCGGGTACACGCCCCTCAGAGGCACAGTAAGGGAGTGAGAGTGAGTTACCGAAAATGGAAAAGAATGAAAAATCCCTAACCAGAAATAAGAAGGGTGGATACGTATTAAGAATTATCGAAGAACCCCTGGCGCCGACAGACCCACCCCAGTTTTGACGGCGTCAATAAAAGCGAAGCCCCAACCGACAGAAATCAGTTCAGCCGCGGACGGCGAAAGAGTTCAGCTGTGGACGACAAGCAGAGATGAGCGCCCAGTGTTGAGACCGCGTCAAGATAGCGGACCAAGATTCACGCACACTTCTGGACTCTTCTTCAACCAAGAACAAGTAGTTTGAAGAGCGACTTAGAATCAGACCACAGAAATAAGTTTTTTTTTGAGTTTCGTCCAAAGACACACCGAAACACAAATTTCTTAGAGAGCAGACAACTTGAAGCCTTAAAGTTGCCTAGTAAAAGCGTCGTGCCACAATCCACAGAACGGGTCGGGAAGTAGATATAGTCCTATGTACCGAGCAAATAGACATAAAAAGTTCGTTACCTTTTTCTTTGATACGTTGGACCTTGTGAGTTTTTCTTTTATTTTCTTTTATACATAATTGTGTGTTATCACCCCTGTTGGACTCAACTTGCATTACGGCCCCAACCCCTGTTTGATCTCGTCTGTCTAAGATCAATTCACAACGTGGGTAGGCAGACTGGAGATCAGTGCAGTTACCCTGGTAACCAGGCGTTGGAAGCAGGTTGGGAACGGCGAGGTTGGTATCAATCTAACCAAAGGGTTAGAACGTCACGTTTGGAGCAGCGAGGAGCGAACAGCTGACGCCGCGGCGAAGACGTCACAGTTGGTGCTGTCCGTGACCAGGATATCAGAGCCTGGGGAGCACGTGACGTCACAATTGGCGCCGCGACCGGAATCGAACGACACAGTCGACGCTGCGACCGGGGGACGACGTCACATATATATATAGTCTTAAGGTGTTCTATATTTATGGGATAAAGTGCTCAATATAAGTGATAGAACATGTGTAAATATAAAAGTGAACATTGAAGTCAGCACTAAGAGGCGACAGGCTGTTTCATGCTAGACATAATCGTCAAGCCGCGAGTGTTGTTTTTTCTCGGCTATTTGTATATATGAAACAGCCTGTCGCCTCTTAATGTTGACTTCAATGTTCACTTTTATATTTATATATATATGTGTGTTTGTGTGTGTGTGTTTGTTTGTATGTGTGTGTGTCTGCGTATTCAATTACAGTCACGCGTGAAATGAAATCACATTTACAAAGTGGACCTAGAGAAAAACGCTATGAAACTTTGTTTAAACCCAATAAAAGAAAAATATCCTGTGATTTTCAGTTTATATCTTTCCTTAATAAAAATGTTAATAATAAATTAGTTTTGGTTGAATGTTTTTAATATGCAATGAAAGTGTAATAATATGAGAATTTTTATCACAATCATGAGTTCTGAGACCCATTAGAATCGTCGGAAGGAATTACATATATATAGCAACCGCAACAGCTGTAGTCGTGTTGAGGACAAGAATGCCTCACTGAGCCAATTCCACATTTTTTATTAATAAAACCGAAACCTATCATGAATACATTTTACTAAATAAAGGTATATATATATATATATATATATATATATATATATATATATATATATATATATATATGAAGAATAAATCATTTTATTATTTTACATGTTAATATAAGCTCCTTGATATTCTATAACCGTTATCAAACTTTTAACTGCGGATTTTGTTAACTTTCTGTTTTTCCAACGGGAACGTTAGCAGCACTTTCTATTGCTTGTAAGAAATATTCTTTTCCTGAATAATGTTTTTAATTTCCATGTCCATCTATTTTAATGATAGACAACACATCTGGAGAGTCAAGGAAATATTCCATTAATTTGGTGTTTAGAATGAATATACAGTTTAAGAGATTTATCTTGAAATCTGTATGAAATATTTAATATTAAAAGTTAAATTATAATAATTACATATTTGATAAATTATTTTCCGGTGCTGTCAAGCTCCATGTAACCACTTTACATATGACGTCATTTTGGATTAATTTGAATCCCAGAATTCAAAAAAATGTCGGTACGTAGACTAAAAAATATCGCCTGCCACACTGGCAAAACTCATTTCTTCATAATGATTGAAAATGTCAAAATTACTTGAACGAAACAGAAGAAACTACTATTCATGACTGTAGGGAATGTTAACTAGAATACTAACATGTGCGGTCATTTTAAGATTCGTACTCAGGTAATTAAAACGCAGTAAAATACTAACTTCACTTTTCACAAAATGCAGCAACGCTTATAGTCCATAACGAATGTCAGATACAGTAAGCACATAAGACGAGTTATATTTTCAGTGAGTGCAGCGCATATGCATTCTTCTAAGAAAATTAACATGGCCGAGTAAATACATACATTTGTAGTTAATATCATATTCACTTTTCATTCCGCTTAGTAAACACAATTCTGAAGAGATTTTTATTTTCAGAAAATGGGCAACATATCTTTTGTTTCAATCTGAAATAAAAAAAAAATGACGCAATTGTAGTAAATTCTATTTTCGCTAGATGACATGAACACGTAAATTTGTATCAATTTATGGCAATCGTTATTCACTGTATAACCGAACCATTTCGTCTTGCTCCACTCTGAACTTAGAATAAACAGCTCAAACTACTTTTGGAAATTGTATTTTCAGCGATTAACCTACACATATAATCTTGTTCTTATTTAAACTAACCTTAGCACAAAAACCTTTATTGAATTCTCTTTTCATTGGATCCCCGTTTCTCTTATTAGGGGAAAGTAGCATTTTGTCCGGCGAGCTTTAGATTGCTCGGCCATAGAGTGCATCAGAGTTCAACAAGAATCTAATCTTTTATGCAAAGTACACTCTTATGGGTCCAAAGCGTAAACGAAGCAATTTCTAAAGAATTAATAGATTTATTTTTAATCGTACATTTCTATTACTTAAAATATTATTTTTAGTGGATACCCGTGTTTGAAATCGGCGCTCATTTTTATTTTATTCTAAACAGTGTTATCGGCTGATCGATAACTGTATCAATAGGGAATTCAGTCTGTGAGTTTGTCACCAATGACAAAATTACTACGATTTGACCATTAATTTACGTTAGCCGCTTGGCAGAGTTCTGATAACCTATTCTCCGAAAACTATACTATAAGATTACAGGCTATAATGTCTGCATATAAACAAACCATTGACGCACTTTATTCCCAACTTATGAGCACATAATCTTGTAGTTAATTTTATCTTGTATTAATTTTTAATTCTGTTGAGTAAAAACATACTCCTGTTAAGAATTCTATTTTCACTGGAGGTCGCACACATGCAGTAGTAGATCAGTTTGAATTCAGCTTCACATATTACAGAATAAATTCAGTTTTCAATCAATGAATATACCTATATCAATTTTAGTAAACGTATACATTTGTTGTGAATTCTATTTCCACTGCAAGATTCAGTCATGTAGTTCTGTACCAATTTAAATTCAATTCAGTAAGCATATAATCTTGCGGTTAATTCTAATTTCAGTGGTTCCCATACATATGTAGCCAAGTACTAAGGCGAGTCACAGAACTCGGGTTAATTAATGTCCATCAAAGAAAGCATCTATAATGGAATTGAACGCGTTGGATCTTATATGAATGGAAGAATATCACCTGGTCCAGTGAGTGGTGTTTTTTCCTAATTAATATTGACAAAAAGGGTACATGTTTGAAGACATGAAACCAGGATTCTCTGTTAGAAAAGACAAGCCATTGGAAGCAGTGTGATTGCCTGATGGCATACAATATAATTAACCATTATATAATTATAAATAATTTACCAATTAATTCGACATCATTGAAAATCAAGTACACTTTTCCATGACAGGAATCTGTTAGTAGTATCTTTCTGTAGTAAAGTTCACGAATGCTTTGGAATTGGTTTAACAAACATTATTTAACTTTCTTGTTCTGGCCACTATGCAGAACAGAGGAGATGTTGCATCCCAAAGTAAGCTCTGAAGAGGACCCACTATGTAATGTATAGCCGGCTCTTGACACGGGTTACAGGAGGAAACCTATAGAGATCTTGTGATATCCATGACAGTTCGAAACAAAACCGTTTTGCACATATATGGGCAAACAACAGCAAGCGAATAAGTAAAAAACAACCAGCATGATTCGAACTCACATCGCCGTTTTCGTGGTAAATGTCTTAACAATTACACTGTTCGTTCTGGATTAACCTGGCTTAATAACAATCGTAAATTTGATTTTATAATTGATAAATCACTTTGTTGCTTTTCATTGAACAATGAAATTACCTTTTAAAATTTTCCTTCTTGTAATTTCAAATTGATCAACTCTGAAATATATATATATATATATATATATATATATATATATATATATATATATATATATATATACGACAGATTAACAGTTTGAGGACACTATAGATTTCGAAACAACCGCGTCAAAATTGAAATGTGCGTGCTTACCTTCTTCAAACCTAATTTACACTTCGGCCCAGAGGGACTTTTCTCTTCCTGAAATCTTTCATAAATATATTCTATAATAATAATAAGGAAATTAACCCAATAATGCATAAAGTTTTCTTAAAATCTTAGGCTCTTTTGCCTAATTTACTTTGCTGGCTAATAATAATTTTAGGGCTGGAATATTTAAGTGTTTAAATAATCCCCTCTCTAAAGGATTGGAAGCCATACATTAATGGGTTAAATAATTTAAATATTCTAGCTTTGTATTCTTCCTCTATGTATACTGCCCTTCATTACGTGGGCGATCATAGCTCTTTACGTGTTTCTAGTTCTTAGTAAAGTTTGTGTTTTTGATATCCCTCCAAATCACTGTTCTGCAAACCATTTTCACAAATTCGTTAGATAGGTTATTCACTGCTTTCATCTTTCTCCCTCTCTCTCTCTTTCTTTCTCTTGCCTTCAATATAACCTGTCAAAGTGTCAAATTCTCCAAGCCTTCTTTTCATATTATGTTCCCTAGAAATTTTAACTGCTTCTTTCTGATTCTAAGTATAAGTGTCTTATTTGCTTCCATTTTCCTGAAAACTTACCCGTTTCTCACATTTTCAGTTCATGGTTATCAGAATCCTTCTGTAGAACCACATTTCTGTTGCTTCAAATCTCTTGTGTGAAGATATTGTTCAGCTTTCACTGTCGTACAGGAGCAGAGATATTACAGAAAAATTCAACACTCTTTGCTTCTAACGAAATGGTCCTCTTTCTTAATACTTTGCTGGGCTTTTTACTAGTCATATTTTGCTATTCCAATGAACCTTTGGATTTCGGCGCCATATTTTCCGTCATCTATTAAACATTTCCCAGATATATAAATATTCATACTTACTTTTAGGTGCCTCCAATTCCTATTTCGCATCTTAGGCTCTTCATCTTGCTGACAACCATATATTCTTTCTTCTTACAATTGATGCTTTGAAATTTCTTTTAACTTTCCTTTACTACATTCTCTGTGGATTCTTGTTCATATATAATTAACAGTTAAATATCACTTAATGATCCTAAGAAATAACTTAGATGTATCATTTAATATAAAAACTTTGAATCATCAAATCTAATTATTACCAATAACACGGATCTAAAAATTCTTCCTATGTAAAAATAATGTTGTTTAAAAATTTTCATACCCCCTGGGAGATTCCGTTTCCAATATCAACAACAAAAAAACAGCATTAACACCAGTCAAAATTCATTACAATTCATCCATCTCATTAAGAACAACAAAATAGAACTATCAACATAAGATATTAGTGGATAATACCAAAATGCTATACAATGGAAGGAAACACTGAGGATCCTAATCACATAAACGCATAATATTGATGTAATTTTTTGGTTTCTCTTCCTTCACCGTTAGACATGAAGTCACCGTGGGCTATTTTAAACCTTCAGCTTTCTCAAGAATATTAGGTTATAGCCAATAGAATCTTGTCTATCATACGGATACTACATGATTCTTAAAAATGACTGAAATGGTCAACAAAATAAACAAGAACATCCGACTGTTTATCTAAAATTTCAATCCTAATATAATTCTTACTCGAACATTGGAGATATACAATAAAAACTTAAACAAGCTTTGTCGGGTGAAATAAATCAAATTTATATATATATATATATATATATATATATATATATATATATATATATATATATAGTGAGAATAAAATAAGCTGAGTCCTCAACGTGACAGGGCCTAAATATAATATAGCAATATTATTAATTCAATAAAGCCTAAATCCGCTACTCAGAGTATAATGTGATAACAATCATTAGACAGAAATTATATATATATATATATATATATATATATATATATATATATATATATATATATATATATATATATATATGTGTGTGTGTGTGTGTGTGTTTGTCTGTGTGGTCGCGCATGCGTGTGTGTGCGTTTGGGAGAGAGAGTGTGAAGGAGTTAAATACAGATTGAGATCGAAATGAATAAGCAAGCATATTCTAAGTCCTTAACATATTAGTGTAGACATAGAAGAATGATATAGACTGACCGATACATAGAAGTAGACTTAGATATGAGTAAACTGAGAAATAAAAGCAAGAACAGACTACGAGGTGATAATCACACTGAGGTAATTACTGAAAGAGATAATTAGATCGATATAGATTGCAATAGACAGAAATCTGTCAGTGGCTGACATAGAAATGGACAGACTAAGAAAAATATGAATAGTAAGAGATAGATATGAACGGACTGAGAAGAAAGAAAGAAAGAAAGAAAGAAAGAAAGAAAGAAAGAAAGAAAGAAAAGGTCTTCAGAGATTCAAAAAGAGCAGAGGTTAAATGCAGGTGAATGAATGAGTCGGGTAGTGTAAGACAGATTCTCGCTCAAACGTCATGAATTGAGAAGAATTCCAGCTGAACCGTGCGAACAAAAATAATGCAAATTATAAATGTAAATGTCCAGGTTCTATTCTTATTTTGCTGGGTTTTTCCCTGGGATTGGGCCGTCCGGCTCAAATCCCACGCTCTGTGTCTTTCAAGATGGCGATCAACCATTATCTGGTTCAGCAGAGGTGGAAAATTGCCTCTCACTCGACTGACATATTAAGGCGTCGAAGAGAGTTGTCTTCTTGACTTATACGTCCACGACCACCGCACCTGCATCTGCTGATACTTGTTCTAACGATGAGGATTTCAGTAATGATAAGCCTAAGAGCAAAGTGACAAAAACAAGTAATAATAATGATAAAGGGAATTGTAACTTGTCTAACAATAAATGTAAAGACGGTAATAATGTTGAAAAATTACGATGTAGATGAGAGTGGAGAAGAATATTGCTGGGAATTACTATTTATTTGTTTATTCATTTATTTATTTTTAGATATTTTTATTTTGTTGCGTGATTATTACCATGAATTATTACCATGAGTTATTACCATGAATGGTATGAAGCGAAATGATCATGATCAATATCAAGAGGATAAAGGATTTATTATTTATTTTTATCATTTGGATAGTAGGAGGTATTGTTGTTACCAAAAACAAGAATTAAGATTAAAAGTGAACGAGGAAAATCCATGGTAAATATGAACAATGAAAAGCAAAATATTTAAGTACAAAATGTGAGAACGTATTTAAGGAAAATGTGTTTTGTAAAAAGGGAAAAAAGAAGAACTTAAATATGAACTGATTAAAATAAATACTGATAAGCTAAACGTTTATGACCAGCGACACGAGGCAAGAATAACACTTATTGTTTCAACATTTGTGCATTTCAATGCCAGTAATTCGGCTTCGATGATTTCAGTTTTCTGTGATGAATGGCCAGTTATAAAAAAAGGGGGTTCGAATGATTTTGGTGAAGTTCAATAGTTATAGCTAGAAATAGCACAAACAGAATTTCTGAAACGGCACGGCTTGCAGGATTCTAAGGTTCAATTGTGGTAAGTAGTCGTTTACTCACCAAAATTGAACGGTAATGGTCCGAGCGGGGTACAATTATGAATTATCGAAAAGGAACTGGATGACCAATACTTTTATCAATAAATTTTATAAGATTTAATATTTTAACAGAGCCATCAACAGAGAGAATGTTGTAGCACAAGCTGTAAACTTAATCATGAGAAAGAAAGAAATACATAACAGATCGTCTATTTACTTTTTGTGTCTGAAGCTGCGTAGCCGCAGACCAAACAGAGTCGCATTACTAATTAATAATGTCCATCGTTGAGTGCAACTTCAATAGAGCCACGTGCATCATATTTCTTGGCAACAGACCCACGATAGTGGACAATATACCCTGCCGCACTGCACGACATGAAGCAGGAAGATGACTTCAATATCTTGAACAAAACACACCAGATATCAGTCTATGTGAACACTGATTGGATTTTGTTGGGCAAACAAGTTTGCTCTATAAAGCAGCTAGCATTAAAATAAGAGTTGTAAAAGGAACTGTTGCCAACATTTTAAAACTATTCTCTAAAGGAAAACTTTAGCAATCATTTCGAGTCTCTGCGTCCAATATATTCATAAGACAAGCGGATTTATTTGAAGAATACATTTTTTACATTCCTTATGAAAATATTGTTTTTATCATGCATACCCTTCAACATGTCTGTCATTCATATCGGTGAAATTTCTATCGTTGTAAATTTGGCTTCATTATTGATGCCATGAGTTGTTCTATTTTTAAAAATTAGTTCTGGATTGGCAAGTTAGTTTTATCTGCGGTAAATTTTCCGAGTTGAAGAAAAACTATTTCTTCTATCTTCATTATTACGAAAATTATTTACTTTTAAAATGCTGTATTTTTAGGGCTAAAATTGTTACTAAGAATAAGTTTTTATTCTGTCCTTGTATATGCGGCCGTTGCAAAATAAGCTACGTATATTGCAAATTCATGTAAATTGTCTTGAATCGTTATTTATATGTCGTTATTTCAATTCACTCAAGTGCTCCATTTTATTCGAGCATTGTAGAATTATCTCAAATCCTTACGATATTAAACATTTCAATTGATGTTTTCTTTGAGCTTATCTTTGTATTCAAGAAGGGTTATTTCAACGATTACAAAGCTGACTGTACGCTAGTATTTGGGGAATTCAATGATCCGGCATTATTTTAAGATGGACCAACCATCTTAATTGAGATTGCATCAACAGGATTTCTATGCTTTTCACCCCCACACTTAGCAAACTAGTCTTTATTAGACATTTTATTTCATCATAAGTACCTGTATATAGTACGCAAACATCTTTTGTGAAATGAAACCAATTTGATGGTATGCATTATGTATGGAATCCATAACTCTTATGCATACAATAAAGTTACTGTGACTATTACATGGTAAATAGAATTTTTCTTTTTCAAACTCAGGCTTCTTTCATTCCAGAATTTTGAATGAGTTTTTTCCAGAATTTTGAATGAGTTTTTTCCAGAATCACACGTAGCCTTAGTTATTCTGTGTGAGATTTTGTCATTTAATGAACCATTTATATATAAATCCGAAGTATGGAAATGATTTCGCATATTTAGATGGATTTTCATTGACTTGCCTTCATGGAAAGAAAGTGTTTTGTATTCGACTTTAGGTATTTATTACACGTATTCTTTGATTTGGAGTCAATTTAAGTTGCACTTTTTCGTAAGGTTTTGCATCTAAATAAAAAAGGTTTACAAGTTCTTGGAGAGAAGTCGGATTAAATACGGAATCATTAACGAAAATGAACTTCAGGAATATTTTGTTGCGGTGAGAGTTTTGGTTTTGACTCTTTGGTGATTTAAAAGATTACCAGTTGTTCTGAATGCAAACTTTGTAATATTTGAAAGCGTACTTCACCCTGACAGAGAGGTATAGAGAAAACAGGACAGTCGCCATGATACTTTTCCGTTGATTACTTCGTTATTTTTTTACAAGAAAAGATTCTGATAAATCACAGACGAAATACGTAAATACATACTTATTTATATGTACAATTAGTTAACTACACATATTGAGATGTAAGAACTGATTGAACTTATAGGTTGAACTGTGATTGATTACTGACTATAAGTTGTAATTTTAAAAAGAATATTACTGTAGTAAACATATATAGCATTAACTTTCTGATGCCACACAAGAGCTACACACCAAATGTACTTACATTTATGATCACATACCATATATACTCCTGTATAAGCCGACTGCATGTATAGTGCAGCTCATGAAATTTTTGCATCGATTTAAACCCCCTCCGGGGAAAAGTTACCTATGCATAGTGCAACCAGTGACTGAAAATTTACTACTACTACTGCTGTTGCTACTTCAACGACTGATAATATTTCTGCAACTTTTCTACTTGATGTAATCAAAGCCTAAGGATTGGAGTAAAAATTGGATTATGCAGAATATAGCTGTGAATTAATTTGAATGACATCTGTTGATTAGCTTAGTGGAAGCAACTTCAAAACTTGTCGGAGTTTGATACTTTATTTCTAACCATGCTGTTTGCTTCGATATCTATTCAGTATTTATGAAGCTACATTTTTCAAGAAATAAACCGTTATTAACCGTATAGAGGCAGGGAAAGCTTTAAATTGGAAAAATGTCTAATGATTAACTCGAACCGTGTATGTTGAGCAAATGAAAGAAAACTACATATGTTGAAAAGATATAAGTAAGGATAAATATCAGAGAAATAGCGTTCTTGAAGTATAAGAAAATATAATAGCATATTTGTAAGATGAGCGGGAAAATAAAAAAAAAATATGGTCGAGTTTTGTGAATGGTGAATGGAAGCTCTGAATAAGATGAAGTTGAAATTAAACGAAGACGAGAACAACTGAAAACCAATGACTCATCACAAAAGAAATATAAATTACCGCATTGAGAATTGTAATTGAGATATGTGTCGGAAACTGAAATTAGCTCGTGAGTTGTACCTTGGAACAACGAGAAGGCGTTTAAGGAGCCTTGTGTGTCTCTAGTGGACGATGTGGGCCGTATAGCCATTGAAAACGGGTTAGGGTAGAGTAATAAAAGAAAGAAAGAAAAAAAAAGTGAAGAATGAAAAAAAAAAATTCTTTTTAACATCGGTTCTCATTCGATCACTGAAGTTACGCTGTGTCAAGTCCGGTTCGTACTTAGATGGGAGACTGCTTAATAACACCAGGTACTGTAAGTAACCTTCTAAAATCCGAAATATGTGTCGGCTTTAAATAACCCACACAGGGTTGATAAGCTGTAAAGTAGCAAATCAACCAATCAATCTTATAAAAGCAAAAAGAGAAAGACGAGAGAGGAAGAAAGAGAATGGAGAGAGAGAGAGAGAGAAAGAGAGAGAGAGAGGAAGAAAGAGAAAGACGAGAGAGGAAATAAAGAGAAAGATGATAAACATGCAAAATATAAAAGAAAGTCATCAATGAACAGAAATAAACAGTGCAAGATGAAAAAGAAAGAACAAGGGAGAAAGAGGTGGTGGAGTTAAAGAAAGAAGAAAGAGAATGTGAAAGAACTGAAAACGGAAACGAAGGAAAGAGAAGATATGAAATAGTGAAAAACAGGAAAAATGAAAAAGCGAAGAAGGTAGAAACATAGAGAGAGAGAGAGAGAGAGAGAGAGAGAGAGAGAGAGAGAGAGAGTAGGGGAAAAGGGAGGAGTGAGAAAAGAACCACATAAAGAAAGAGAGACCAAGGCGTAAACAAATTACAAGAAATTTTCAGAACTGAGCTCTTCTGTCAAAAATCGCGTTATTTCTGGTAAGACTGGAATAAGAGAAGAATATCTTGGTGCTGCCTAGAAGAATGACGTCCGGTGATTGACCAATTATAATTACTACAAGGCACAATGGGTTTGAACGGTAGAGAGGTCGCTGGTGGTGTTAA